CTTAGTAGTGTACATTCAAAGGAAATGCCCTGCTGTGTTGCCTTGGTGACAATCAATCCCAGCTTTCCCACTAGGCAGGGGACGAGGCCTGTGTTGGCAGAGGTGATAGGGGAGAGAGGGAACACACATTCGCTAGAAGGGTGAACAGAAATCATCATTTATCTAAATAGAATAATAGAAATGAACAAAAACCTTTTAAAACAATCACAAAATTTACAAATAAATTGATACAAAATAAATAGAGATTGTAAATCTACAACATCGTTTGAATTATAAAATGCATTCATTATGACAATCAGCTCATGAAACCTATACATGTCGTTTGTGCTTATTTAGGTTTATGTACACAGCTCTAGATAACTGTGTTCAGAAAACTCCGCTGCTGCAAAGCATGAAATGTACACTATGATACAGTGAGTAAAGGCTAAGGGGGGTGGAAATCAGACTCAAAGCAGGTCTGTGAGGCGCCAAGGCAGTGCTGGCATTGGACCTCAAAACCAAGAAAAGGCATCTCAGCAGCCTAGGTGGGCAGGCAGCTTCCCCGGTGCACAGAGATGGATTCTGTGATCCAGGGTGGGAACTGGAGACCATCCCTGTTGTGGGGCCAGGCCACCAACCTGGCTTCGGAGTGTGGGAGTAGAGGCCCTGGCCTCAAAGCCACGCTGTACCACTGCCTAGAGAACAGACCCAGTCACCACGAAACCACCTCTAAAGTATTTCACAGAGGTCCCTGAAGAGGCCCTGCAGTGAAGTAGGAGACCTGCCTCCATCCTCATCTCAAAACACTTGCTGTCAGGAACAGAGGTGGGTCGAATAAAAGGGCCTGGGACACTAGGACCAACATAAGAGCAGCAACCTGTTTAAGACAAAAACAGACAACACTGCTCCTCACCCACTCTGAAAGACAACAGAACCCTAGGCTCCATGGATGAGGGGCTCAGGAACAGATCTCATCTTAGTCACAGACGATGTACTAACAGTAGAGGCGTATGTACATAATAAATAATAATATAAAATAAAGCATATACATTTGTGGACTTCAAGGACTCCGGAAACAAGAAAAGTCAATGGACTGACACACTTCACCTTCACAGTAGACTTTAGACATGGGGAGTAATGAACCAGGAGTGAGGCTGGGCTCTCTGGGGAATGAGAGTCCTTACTTTTTTCTCCCTCTCCCTTCTGCTCTGTGAGCCTGAAACCAGCTGTTTATACCCAAGGGGCCTGGGCCTCCAACTTAAGGGCAGGTACCCAAGGTCCACTAGGTCCACACTTGATAGTTCTCTCCAGGGTAAGTCTGAAGAGGAATCCGGGCCCACTTCTCAAATGAATGCATGTTGGTCAGATGTGGGCAAATGCCAGAATATATGCTGCCAATGAAGACAGTACTCTCAGTCATTCTTCCAAGTCGTTCATGTCTGATACCCAGTGGGTATTCAAACTTGAAAACGAGTACTCACGCAAGTTTTACAGTGCGTATTGGATCTGTGTACATATAAACCGTGGCATGCAAACTCCTAGAACTTTACTCTCTTGCCACTTGGAACCTTTTGTTTCCATGTTGCTTCAAGTACAGCCCGATATTTAAAACAATTCTTCTGAGATGATGTCAGTGGCTCTAGCATACACAGAGAGCTTACTTGAGCCGAGTCAACCACAGAAGTCTGCAAAGAAGGTCCCCTGCCCAAGATGGTGGGATGGAAAGCTGCCTCAAGTGCTTCAGCTGCTGTGAACTGCCCTCTTGCCTCCTGTTCTCAGGGCTGCCCAGGGACTCCTGGCATCTCCAGACAGCAGGAGGAAAACCAGCTCATGAGCGCTCCCTGTAGGGAGGGTGCCTGCACGTGCTGGAGGTGGAAGGCCCACCATCACAGCCTTGAGCAAGCTTGGCTTGGGTGCCCTGCACATCCAAAAACAGGCAATGAACAGCAAAGGAACAACATTCCCCAAACTCATCTCTTGTAACAGCCCACTCAAATACAAAAGAAATGTGGAAAGATAAAAATCTGCAAATGGCCCTGAGGTATAAAAATCCACTGAGTAGGTTGCTCACTGATAACATTTGCATGGGAAAAGTTTCTGAATTCCCAAATCACTCATATTGAACTCCTTAAATCCCCCCTAATTCTGCATTAACCTGCCAGCCCTCCAAGATGCCCTTGCTGGCCTGAAGCACCACTAGTCCAGAGGCCATAACAGAACCACACCTGACCTGGGACCAGAGCCCTGTCCTCAAGTAAGAAAGTGAGCAGTGGCACTTCAGAAAGCTCCACGCCCTGAACTGCCCAGCTCAGGCTGGCAGTCCCCAACGCTCTGCAAGAAAAACCACCTCCAGGATCAAAGTGGAGATGCTAACTCCCTCGTGCTAACAAGGAGCTTGTGTCATGTGATCAATCCTCCCTGGTGCCTCTGCTTAGAATCCCAGGGAACAAGGTGAGCACCTTCCTGTGCCAGCCCAGGTGAATCCTCTGCCTGGACTGGGTCCTGGCAAACAAGAGGGATACTGGTCTCCTGGCCCAGGATAGGAGAAAGTGGTCAGATCCCTGGCTGGTTTTCAGAAGGTGACAGGGCTGGGTTTTGTTTTTGACCAGCCATGACACAGGCTCAGTGGGCCAGGGCCTACTTAGGTCTGCTCCTCGACTTGAGGTAATTTGAGGACAGAAGTTCATGGTCCCAGCTTAGCGCAAATTCCTGTTGCTTCATTTCCTAAGGGAAATGCACTTCTTGTATCTAGCACTGTTTTCCAAGACATGGAAAAGCTGATCCTTTAACTGTATGGTACCGGGGATAGCACAGGTCAGTATATTCACAGTTAATGTTCCATAATAGTGTGAAGTTTTACATTCAACACGTGCACAAAAATTCCTTGAAATAATATTAGGAAATGGCAAGATGCCCTATTCTTCCCACCAAGGGAAGACAATCCTGTCAGCATGGGCACAGAGCTCTCTTCCAGAAGTGAGGTGAGGAGCAAGGGGAGGAAAGTTACATGGGGTGCCCTTTCAAATTCAAATTATGCAAGAACCAAGGCTTAAGCTGACTGTAAATTGACTAACAACCCAATTTCCATGCACAAATCTTAAGGTTCTGTTTTCCTAAAAGTTTAAACACTTGATTTTGGACTTGCCTGATCAGGCAAGATGAACAGAGAAAAGAGAGGTAACCTCTAAAGCACTAGGAAGTCTCATTTATGAAGAAAAAACAGATTGTCCTGGGAACACCTGGATACCAGAATCTAGTTCCAGGAGGAACCTTCGGGATGCTGGAATGGCTGCTCAGGAGCAGGAGGCGGCCCTGTCTGGTCCCTCAGAGCCAGGGCTCACAGAAGGGGCCCCAGAGGACACTGAAGAGGAGAGCGAGGCCCTGGGCCAGACAGTAGGGCTCCCACACACTTCAGAACCCCAGGCCCTGTGTCTTCTCCTTGACCCACTTCCTCACCCACGCTTACAAAGCCAGCAGCCCAGGGAGAGGACAATCTGCCGGTGGTGCTAAGGACTGGCCACCACACATCAAGATCTCAACTATCTGAGGGTCGTTCTCTGCCCTGCTCCTGTTTACTTTACAGACACGAATTGCACAGACAGCTTCTAAGCCCAAGTCATTCTCCTGCTCTCCTGCCTCACAGAAGCAATGAGCCAGCAACTCTCCTTCAACAACCTGTAGTTAGTTTCCAGAAGGAAAGTGGGATCTGGAAGAGATATCTATCGCTCAGATATTGAGTGTTACCATCTGAAGGGTCCTAAGCTTTCCCCAAAGGAGATCTAACTGTTGCCAAATGTTAGCTTTCATTCCTTGAAGGACCAGACAGGACCTACTTGGGATTCCCTGTTGCTATAAAACAGTGTGAAAAATCAAAGGTAAAGAGTAGTTTATAGAAAATAAATATGAACTTGGGAGACTAAAATTTCATCCTCCAGGAGCCCCACGGCAAAGACCTCCTGCCACCAGCTCCTTTACGGAGGACTTTTTAAAGAGCCACACGGAGCAGGTACGGCAGTGTGGAAAAGTCATCCATTTCTCCCCGAAGCCAAGGAGCCAGCAGCAGAAATCCTCTCACCAGGGCTTTATCATTCTCAGAGGAGCAGGTGGACTCCAAAAAAGATCCAACACACTAACAGTGATTCCAGAGGCTCCTTCCAGGGGCAATGCACTTGGAAATGGGCTGTGTAGGGGAGGCAGATCGAAGCAGATCAGCCAGGGGAAGCTGATGGGCAGAGATCCTGGAGGCCAGAGGTACCACGGCTTGGCAGCCTGGCTCCACCAGACCACTGGGATGGCAAGTGCCGTCCCGGCCCAGAGCGTGGCCCGGGGGCTGGGGCAGAAACCTTTCCCAGGAAGGCCCAGGTTTCCCTCATTACAGGGAACTCTCATTTCTGTGCGCCCCCTGCTACACAGACAACCCCAGTTCCCAAGTCACATCACACTGGCAGCGCGCTCAACTTAACACATCTTAAGAAAGCAAGACCTTTTACACTTTACGGCAGCGCCATCCCACTGGTGGCAACTTCGGTGCTGGCAGCAGACCACTCAGCCCCTAAGGGGGCACCCCAGTGACTTCTGCCAAGTGAGGAAGTACTTCCCTCACCAAGGGACACGGCACCTTCTGGGAAGATGCTCTAGGATCGACATACCAGGGGAAGCCATGCACCATGGGCGCACACGACACCAGAGCCACCAAGCTGCTCCCTGGGAGGCAAGCCCAGCGTGTTTCTGGTTCTTCCCCGACCACAGCTCCCACCCACCAGCGCCCAGCCTGGGGTGCACAGTCCTACCTGGAGAAAGGAGAAGAAACTGCCGCTTAGCCCTGGGGCTTCCCTTTACGCAGTGAGACCCAATGGAGAAAATGCTATCTTCTTGCCTAGACACTGGACACAGCGTGGACTGACGGGTCTACATGAAAACTGTGGTCAGTAGGAAGTCACTTCAGTGTATGAATGTTGCCCCCAAAATGCACATATCCCTTGGGTTAACACTTAAAACACAGCTAAGAGTTAAGAATTCAGTCATTCAAGAAATAACCTCCTGATATTAATCTCACTACACATGATGAATCTGGTATTAAAATAAGACAGAGACACACATGAAGTGGCCATGACACACATTTGGTTTCGGAATCCCTGTCTGGGGCCAAGCTGACCCTGGCTGTACAGGCAGCCTCTCTGGCATGGGATGAGTCCGAGGCACAGAAGTCCTCGGGTGGGGACACACAGGCCCTGCTGGGCCCTGGGGGCCCAGGGCTGAGGGGAAGAGGGACAGTTGGCTCCCTGGACGGAGGGGCAGGGGCTGGCAGTCCCCAGAGTTCCCTCCGTGAGACACATGGGTCTGGACATGCCTTCTCAGCAGGTCGCACAGAGCACAGCTGGAAGGTCTGACTCCTTTTCTAACAACCACATACTGTTCCAGCAGGAAGGGCAGGAGTGTGGATGACACACCTCGAGTTTACTCGAGGGCCCCGTGGAAGATTTCCATTTGGCATCTGTGTAGCAGCATCTTGGGTTAACAAGAGCAAGGCCGGGGGTGGAGTGGGATGACGGCGCTCTGGAGGTTCAGACGGGGAAGAGGCCTGGCTGAGCCAGAGGTCCCAGGCTGGGGGCATGTTGGGGGGGACCCACCCTGGCCTCTTGCAAAGATAAACGATCAGTTTAAAATTCATTAACATTCATTTTGGTGATAAAAAAAAAATTCCTTAGAGTGGGAGCAAAATCACATTCCAAGCAAATGTTAAACCTTTCTGAGGGGAAGGGACACTGTTAAACATTAACTTAACACTGAGCTCAGAGAGGCAACTGCGGGTCCCTGGCAGGTCTGTGTCATTCATCCTTCAAGTTCGACAGCGACACCCACTGGGGCACAGAGGAAGGGTGCCCCTCCCTGGGGCCGTGGGGAGGGAGGGCCCAAGGGAGGCCACTGGAGGGACAAGTCCATCCTCTTAAGGTCACATCATGGGGTCACAGCAGAGTTCAGACAGAACAACTTAAAACTCTGCAAAAGACACTTTTTAAAAACATGATCTCTTGGAAAAAAATAAATCGCGACAATTTTCAACTTCATGCAAATCGAGGGAGGAGGAGAGTGAATAATGATAAAAGGTACAGCTGAAAAAATAAACATGATTCTATTTGGGCGGAAGAAGTTCATCTCCATAATCTCGAAATGCCACGCCCTGGCGGTCGACTTCCTGTCTCCGGTTTCCATGCCTGCCCTCCCTGGCCTCCTCTGCTGCTTCCAGGAAGGGGACAGAGTCTTTGGTGTCAGGATGTTGCAGGATGCAGCATGGCACACAAGCTCACACTAGTGGGATTCACGGTCGGAAGGCGGGAGGCCAGCGGCCTGGTGTGGGGGCCGGGCGCCCTAGATGGCGCCTTCGCTGTGCAGGCTGTGGTTGGCCTTGGTGTGCGTCACACAGTTCTGTTCGTTGAGCAGGTTGGCCGTCTCATCCGGCAACCCGTCGTGCAGCTCCGTAAGAGTCAATTCAATTTTAGTGTTTTCACTGTCTGAAGACTGAGGAGTCTTGTCCATCCGGGATGCCATCAAGGCATTTTGGTATTGCTGTCTTGAGATCTGGGGCCAGGAGATGGTACAGAAAACAAACCAAAATAATATTTTTAGGCTATCTTTTCTCCACATGGCATTGTATTTATTACACCTTATACCCCTTGAAGGGCCCTGAGTAGTTGCCCTAGGTGAAAACCATCCTTCACTTCACTTTTTAGAGTTCATGTTGACTCTATGAACAGGTAGGTCAGTTTATACTGGTATAAGGTATGTCCAAATTTTGTCTCAAAATCCCACCCAGCCAGACTAGAAAATGGAGATAGGCTTCCATCCCCTAAAGCTGGCTCGTCCCCTCAAAGCCATCTTTATTCCAGACAGAAAAAAGCCCTGGCTCAGGGGAGGAGGTAAGCTGAGGGTTCTCCCTAGCAAATCCTCCAAGTTTCTCAGAAGTCCGTGAAGACTGGCTGAAAAGGTTTCCTCTTTTTTTTTTTTTTTTTTTACCATCTCCAGCTCTCATTGCCCAAAAAAGCTACATCTGATTTGGCAGCTCACTGGACAGTCAGGGAGATCAATGTCTTCCCTGGCGGAGGCAGGGCCCCCGCAAAACCACCAAGGAAGGCTCCATGCAGGGGCTGGGGAGCCACCTGCTCATAAGGGAAGCTGACCTTCCCCTGCCAGGCCCAGCCGGGCCACCCTTCCCTCTCACCTTAACAAACTGGAGATCGGAGAGGGCTCGCACTGAGTAGTCAGGGATGTAGACCTGGAGGAATGCAGAGTTGAGCTGATTGTTGCTGCTCCCCAGCGTCGGCGTTACCGCATCAATTCGGTCGCTGCGGCTGAGAGAGTCCGAGTGATTCAAGCCACACGGGCGAGGAGGTGACTTGTTTTCACCTGGAAAAGGAGAAAAAAAAAAAAAACAGCCGCCTTTTAAGTGAGGTCAGATGTCACTCAAAGTCAGCTCTTTATTTTCCAAGTAAAGTAATAAGTTCAACTGCAGGGTCTCTGACAGCATGCTCACAGCTTCTCCTGCAACAGATTCCCAGCCCCATCCACACGAACACACCAAGTCTCCAATAAGCAAAGACCCGTGGCTGCACGCTATATCAGGGGAGGCGGGGCCCCAGACACAGAAGCTACTTGATAGAGGCCTGGGCTGCCAGAAGGCAGCACAGCATCAGTTTGCCAGAAGCAAAAACGCTTGAGAATGTTCCTAAATCAGTACATGTTTATAAAGGATTAAAACAGGTCTGTCTGTCCATGCTTCCCAGCCAAACCTGTTATCTTTGCCTCTGACCCCAGTAAAATCCCTGAAAGGTAGTCTGAGGACATCTCAGGATTTTAAGCACCCTGGGAGACACCAAACCCCTTTAGAAGGTTTGATTAGGTTAGCTTAGGTGCTGGGGCAGTCTTCAATGAACTCTTTCATATAAACAAAGTGAAAGGAAATCCAGGTGAGTCTAAATGTTGCTGCTTTTAAAGGCACATTCACCATAGCTTCTAACACGTTTCATTAAAGATAAAACCCACCTCCCCTCACCAAGGCTTCTTCCATTTTTGCTTTCCTAGTCAAACCTATTGCACAAGTATCAACCGAGTGCCCACACTGAATTGCACAATGTCACAGGATAGAAGGGGCCCTACTATCCCAGCTGATGGCTGGCTCCTCTTTCCAATGTGCTTCTGACTGGCTCTCGGCTGGTCCCACCCTTCAACGACTGCAAAGTCTGTCATCAGAGCCATCAAAATCTGCTTCCTCAACTTCAATGACAGCCTCTCCACTCTACCGAGCTCTATCGAGTAACTTCCACTACTCTGCTACTTGGAACAGCCCTGAGGAGTCTGAAGATAGTTCTCTGAAGTCTCTTCTTCTCTGGGCCAAATAATTCAACCATTCACCTCGAATTTTATCTTTCCTTAGCTCATTGGGACCACGATCTGAGAGACCATTGAGCAAAAGTCCCTGTTTAAATATGACAAGCAGAACAAAACATGGCAAGAACTCAAGGAAGCTCATATGATGGGTTCATCGTCTCCTAAAATTTTCATGTCACAACTTTCTCTACAGTTTTCATGTCAGGAGCCAATTTTCCATTGTTGGTCAAAATTAAACTCAACAGCACTTCCTCTTGTTGCTTCCACTTAAGAGAACAAGGCAAATTAATAATTTATCAGATATCTTCTATTTAGCAGGTGACCTAACTTTGATCAGATGGCCCAGCTTTGCTAAGCCTCAGATTCCCTATCTATAAAAAGCAAATAGTAACAGCACTCCACTTGTAAGGTCTGATGATGAGTCAACACGAGATAAGGTAAAGCACTTAGCATGGTGTCCGACACCATGAATGAGCCTCATTAACATTATTATAGTCTTTCCCTGAAGCCCCACCCTCGACCTCTCCACCACTCTCCTACCCTCAGCATCAAGCTTCTCTGCACTCCTGTTAACTTTGCACAGGCTGACAGATACAACAATCCATGAAACAAGTGATCCCACTCTATCCCCAGTCTTTAGCCCCAAATCTACAGATGCTTCTGAAATGGTGTTTACTTCTCTGAGTTTCAATTTAATGTTATGAAAACAAGACATTTGGGAATGTTCTGGCTGTCTGAGTTAGGACTCAGCGCTTTCACTGCTGGGGGCCCGGGTTCAGGGAACTAAGATCCCGCAAGCCATGCAGCACAGCCAAAAAATAAATTTAAATAAATAAATCAATCAAAACATTTTAAGAGCACTTTTCTTATTGATCAGACCCTGTGCATTGCCTGATCGCTGTCATGCGGCGTTCTGCTTCTCAATCTCCTGTTACTTTTCTCCTGAGGAGGATTACAGGGTAATTTCTCTGGTCTCCCAAGGTATCTAGACTCCCAGTTAGCTTCCTCTCAGCCCACCGACCTCTGTTTTTTGAGAGATAAACCGTCCCCTTTGCCAGGGAACCACTGCCTCGCATCACAGCCAGTCCAGAGCAACAGACCGTTTTCCACGACCTTTTCTGTTACTCAGCAGAAACCAGCACACTCACCTTTTACCAGCATGTGGTGAAATGTGCAAGTCTTCACACCCAAAGATAACAAAGGCTTCAAGTTGCCACCCCCCAGTGCAGGTTTTATTGCCAAATTTATGTGCCAAGGTTTTATGATGATAATTATGAAAAAAAAATCAATTTTAATTGCTCTTATGCCTTCTCAGAATTTTTTTTTTTTTGTCTTGGCTTATTTTATTCATCCTACCCAGGAATCCTTTCATTAGCTAGTAAGCTAGAAAGACACAATAAAGAAACATCCCAGCCTCCTCCCTTAGAGCCACAAGACCCTGTGTGGAACTGGCTGCAAACCACTGGTGTAGTTCAACCTCCATTCATCAGGTATCTTATTATTGTAATGCCAGCAGCCCGAAGGCCTGGACCCTCAAAATGGATTTTCTTATGACCAGATCAGATGGAACAGGCTGAACTATGAAATCGCTAAGTTCTAAGAAAAAGTGAAACACAAACGACATTTCCAGGAGCGTCATCCAAAAGTCACTTTACTTCAGTATCTAGGACATTTTAAATCAGTAGCAGATGCCAGCAAATAAAAAGGGGAGAAAAAAATACCAACACACATATAAATAAATACATGTTTATGTATTTACTTATAATACATATACATACACATATAATACAAATACATGTATATGTACATACGTATATTCTGTCAGCTAGTCGGAGCCAAGCAGCCTGATAAGTAGTATCTTTGGCCAAACACCCTCAACTCTTTTAACAACAAAGACCTAAAAAATATTATGTTCCTTCTAAGACAAGTAAGTATTGCCTCCTTTACCAAGTATTAGCATTCTAGACTTTTGCTGAAACTGGATGAGGAGATACAAATTTCAATCAGATTTTAAAATATAAGCTGTATTGAACAAAATACAGAAAAATTGGACTACCAAGTAGGAAAGCCCAGCAATTTTAATTAAAGAGAGATTAAACCTTTGCCATTCTCTTTAGCAGCTGGGCATATTAGGAAGGCATGACCACATTCTCCTGCGGGGCAAGAACCAGTAGCTTGTTAAGAATGTGCACTGTACTAATTTCAAAAGGAAGAAAGCGAGACAGGAGAAGTGGAGCCACCTGCCTGACGGAGGGTGGAAATACGTGCACCTTGTTCACGTGGACATCTGAAAAAAGGACCAAAGAAACAGGAATGCTGGGGCCTCCGAGGATGGAGAACCAAGGAAAGTTCACAGTCCTCCAGCCTTTTGGCTGAATGTGTTCTGCAGAAGAATCCTCAGGTTTGGGGCCTCTGCAGATTTCACCCACCATGACTCTGCTGAGGTCACCAAAAGAACCAAAGGGCAGCAACGAAAATCCAAGGTCAGCGGTGTGGGTGGGACTTATAGAGAATGCTGGTGACTCACGTTAGAACCACTCTCCTTTCCCCAGTGTCATCGCTGTTCATGTTTCAAGATTCCCTTCCCAGCTCCCAAACCCTCTCTGCCATCTGTTGAGGGCTAATGCTTTCCTGGGTAGCTCACTCTTAGGTCATTTAACCATGGACTTGAAGAGCTCAAAGAAAAACTGAAAATGGCCTTAACCGAACAGAAGGAGCAGACCTGGCCAGCCGGGCTTTGGTGGGGTCAAGGGAGGCAATAAGAAGAATTATGAAAGGAAACATGCAGAATTACCTGGAGAACCTGCTGCTAACAACTCTGTTCTGCTGACAACAAAGGTACGAGACAGGGACAAAGGAACTGAAAAATGGAGAAAAACAGGGTGAGACCATTTCAAAAGGCAAGACAGGAGCTCTCTGTAATTAGGGGACAGGAGTGGATAACTGTTCTACCCATATAAGTGTTCGGTCCCAGATATGCAGAAGCCTATATGATATTATATAAACCAAGAGAACACACACTGCTTTCCAGGAAGAGGAGTATAGGGAGGCTGAAATTGGGAGAAATTCCACTCATGCTTCTTTCCTAACCTAGAAACATCTTAAGCCTTTAATACCCAATTGCAGTTTATAGCTCAAAACGTGCTCTTAAGGACTTCAATCACAGCCAGCCACACAGACTGGGAGCTCAACCCGTCATCTGCCCCAGGAGCATGACCCAAGACGCTTTTGCCAAAACACCCGATGTTCATTCGGTGCACAGCCTACAGCATCCCCGTCTCTGCCAAGCAATTAATTATTCAATTCATTTACACTCTTAATTAGTCTGATAGTAACTTTGACTGGATTGTTTGAAACTGCCAAGTATTCCAAAGCAATTCAAAGTATCAGAGAAAGGTACTGGGTTGGCCAAAAAGTTCGTTCATTCGTTTCCCATAAGCGCTTACCCGAACGAACATTTTGGGCAACCCAGTAAATAAAGAACATCATACGCAGATTTCCTGGGAGTGGCAGACCAAAGTCAAACAACATGCCCTACTAGGCAGGGGTCATATTTTCTGGGCAGGTTTTTTTTTTAATTGAGATATAATTTGACAAATAACTGGGCAGGACTTGATAACTGATTACCACAGGGTTTTCTAGGCAATCAACAATAACAAATAGCAACATTATCTTGAGATTACAATACTAATGCATCTCTCAATGGATATACAAAACCATGAATCCTAATTGTAAAGTCAAGCAAAATGCTGGGCTTTTGTAGTAAGCAGGATGCTTTAATGAAATTCTCTTCCTTCTGGGCATTTGCATACTAGGTAAGGCTATTGCAGCCCCACATGCTTTCTGTATGGAAGGCCTGCTCTTCTTTTTCTGAATGTGATTCATCCCTATATGAATCCATAGTTCAGTATGAACTGGGCTAATATTTAGGTTTCAAGAACTAGTGACCAATAAAAATGTACAACTTACATTTTTACATAGAGGACTAGCTTTCTTTTCAAAGCCACCTTACACACTGATTCTGCTAACCTGGGGCTAACATGAGGATGGCTGCCAAGCAAGAGTTGCAACCTCAACACCTACTTGTGTTAATATAAACATTTCTTCTTGTGCCTTAAAGGTTACAAAGCCCTTGTGTGAGTATCATCAGATTCTAACAATCACAGGAGATGATCTCATATCCTTTTAATAGTGAGGAAGCCAAGGGCCGTTCTCAGTTGGGAGACCCATAAATGATGGAACTCAGGCTGTCACCCAGGTCTTCTTGACCTAGATAAGAATGTCCCTTTGAACAGCATGTATATTATCTATAGTGAAACAGATCACCAGCCCAGGTGGGATGCATGAGACAAGTGCTCGGGCCTGGTGCACTGGGAAGACCCAGAGGAATCGGGTGGAGAGGGAGGTGGGAGGGGGGATCGGGATGGGGAATACATGTAAATCCATGGCTGATTCATGTCAATGTATGACAAAACCCACTGAAATGTTGTGAAGTAATTAGCCTCCAACTAATAAAAATAAATGAAAAATAAAAAATTTTTTTAAAAATTAAAAAAAGAATGTCCCTTTGGAAGCAACCTAGATGCCCATCAGCAGATGAATGGATAAGAAAGCTGTAGTACATATACACAATGGAATATTACTCAGCCATTAGAAAGAATACATTTGAATCAGTTTTAATGAGGTGGATGAAACTGGAGGCTATTATACAGAGTGAAGTAAGCCAGAAAGAAAAACACCAATACAGTATACTAACGCAAATATATGGAATTCAGAAAGATGGTAACGATAACCCTGTATGTGAGACAGCAAGAGACACAGATGTATAGAACAGTCTTTTGGACTCTGTGGGAGAGGGCAAGGGTGAGATGATTTGGGAGGATGGCATTGAAACATGTAAATTATCATATGTGAAATGCATCGCCAGTCCAGGTTCGATGCATGAGACAGGATGCTCGGGGCTGGTGCACTGGGATGACCCAGAGGGATGGGATGAGGAGGGAGTTGGGAGGGGGGTTCAGGATGGGGAACACATGTACACCCATGGCAGATTCAAGTCAATGTATGGCAAAACCAATGCAATGTTGTAAAGTAAAATAAATAAATAATTTTAAAAAAATAAATAAAAGAGAATAATGTTAAACTAAGTTGATGAACAATAAATACATGATATATGTATGATTTTCATTAAATACATGCACTTTATGATTTTAAAATAAAAAAAAAAAAAAGAATGTCCCTGCCGTCTCACTAGCAGTGAAAACAGATCACCTTCAGGTTTACAGCAGACACCTACTAATTACGTGGATTCGACAGGCTTGTGCTCATGCTGGGTGTCAGTCGGCACTTGACAATGGAGATGCTGGCCCATGGAACTCAATAACCTGCACCAGGGCAGTGAGAAGATGCGTGGGGGCAGGGGAGGCTTAGAACCTCAGAATTCTTGACCTTTCTCTTGCTTTCTAACTGTAGCATCTCTGGGTGCCTGAGACACTGTGTGGCGCAGTAAATGAGGACCAAGGTCACAACACAGACTTGCCTGGAGATGTCCCCTCCCTTTTTGAGACTGGTTTTCAGGAGTGACAGCACTCTTCATGGGTGATTTTTTTAAGTTTGAGGTTTATAAGGAAGGTATTTCCTAGCACACAGCATGTCATTAGGCAGTCTGACCACAAGGTGGTACTCCAGGCCCTGTTTACCTGCCTGCCCTGCTGTGCTGTGCTGACTCCTGTTGGACGCTTTGTGACCCCATGGACTGTAGCCTGACAGACTCCTCTGTCCATGGGGATTCTCCAGGCGAGAATACTGGAGTGGGCAGCCTATCCCTTCTCCAGGGGATCTTCCCGACCCAGGAATCGAACCGGGGTCTCCTGCACTGCAGGTGGATTCTTTACTAGCTGAGCTACCAGGAAAGCCCACCTGCCTGCCCAGTTAAAGCAAAGGAAGCCACAGAGAGACCGTTCAAGTCCCATTCCAGAGGCGAGCCAAGTCTCTGCGGCCACATTCCCACTGGCACAGACCCCGCGTTCTGGCATCTTGTGTCAGAGCACTGGATAGATACACTGAGGGTACACCCACCCTTACCTGGCCAACTTAACTGGCCAGCTCTCTAATTAAGAAGAACTGGCTACAGGCAATAGATATATATCGACAACCTCAATTATCCTCAGAAAAATGAAAATTTTAAAAGTCCAGAATAGTTAACACCTAAAAGATTCAAGAGTATCCAGTGGCGGACAGGTGGATATGAAGCAACTGGAACCCTCATTAGCAGGGGCAGGCGTGTGGGGACTCCTCAGCCACTCTGGGAAACTGGGGCAACAGCTATTAACGCGGGCCCCAACATTCCATTCTTACATATAGACCTGACAGAAGTGTCTTCACCAAGGGACGTGTGCAGTGTTACTGCCACACAATTCACAGTTACCTCCAACATGAAGCTACCCCTGTGTCCACCAGTACCGAAAAGGACAAACGCACTGGTGTATATTCACACTGTGGAATAATATACAGCAACGAGAAGAAAGAGTGTAAGCTCGCACAGAAGTACAGATGAAGGCGACCAGGACAACACTGGGTGGGAGAAGTCAGTGTAATAATTCCACCGACCTGAAGTTCAAAAAGAGGCAAAACTCGTCAAGGCTCAGAAGTCAAGACAGTGGTTACTCTGGGGAGACAGTGACTAAAGGGGAGGGCGGGGTGGGGGTGGGGGGTGCAGTTTCCTCTGAGGGTTAGTGATGCCCTTTCTGTCTCCTGATCTGGGAGTTGGTCTACACAGGAGAGCTGAGTTTGTGAAAATGCTCAGAGGTATGTATGTACGAGGTGAGCAGTGTTTTTTTGTATGCCACTTCAATAAAAAGTTCATAAAGTAAAGAAACAAGTGTTGTGTTTAGCCAGTAGGTACAGAGATAAAAGTGACAGTATAGGGCATTATTTCCTGACACCTAGCCCTGCCCTGAGGCTGACAAGGACACTCACCTGGGGAGGCTGTAAGGGCCATCACACCATAGTATGAAAAAGCACTGGCTTCAAACTTCATACCTTCTTTTCCAGCTTCTACTTCCACTTTCCCCTGTGAAAAGGAAAAAGGGGGCATTTTCAGCCTACTTACATGAACCTTTGTAAATCCTATGCAAGACTTAGTCCTTCCTCAGATTTTGGTCTAAATCCCTTTCCCAACAATACCAAGGAAGTAAAAAGCCTCAGGTAGCCTTTCCCACTTAAAGGAGAGGGTTAATGCATCTTAAATATGGAAAACTGGATTTAGCTGGAGATGCACTAGGGATGGTAGTGTGATGTTTAATTTCCATGAGTTCACTTAGTAGTCCCCAGCACCCCAGTTCATGGATTCAAGAGCCCTCCCAGGGATAGAAGGATGGGGCTCTTGCCCCATCCATGGGACAAACACTGAGAAGTGCTCTATGACCATCACCCAGGCAGTCCCATGGGAGCCTGAGTCGGAGCAGAGTCAGGGTCAAGGGCCAACATGGTTTGTGACCATGAAACAGGGAGAACTAAACCAGCTCCTGAGGGCAGAAGTCACTCTTCTCTCCCTATCATAGTCATGACCAATTGAGCAAACACCCCGCAGGCCAATCCCTGGTCATCCAGACACCCAAGAGGCACCGTGACACTGTGGTACTTCTGTTGTCTTGGGAAAGCACCTTAAGAAATGTCCTTCTGTTAGGACAAGACCTCTTCTAAGGTTCTCCCTTCTCTTTCCTTTCTCTAACTTGACCACAACTTCTTCACTCTCACCATTTCTTCTGGGACAGGCTGTGCTTTATTCATTCCCCCAGCCTTAGGGTTCACCATAATCTTTTCATGACAGGTGATGTCAACATGCATTTTTCTGGGCTACTGGAAAACCCTCATAAGCAAGTTGTATTCTAGATTTCTAAGCCAAGGATCAGGAAAGTTCTTGTCATCTTACCTGTAATTCTTGCTCTCTGGTAAGAGTGTACCTTTATGGTGCATCCTTTACCACGGGTAAACAAAACTTAAGCTACCATTTATTGAAGAGGAACAGTGCCAACAATTTACACTGCTTTATTAATTCACTTAATGCTCACAATTCTATGAAGCAGACACAATTATCACCCTGATATAAATCAGGAGAATGGGACTCAGAAAGATGAAGTGACCCAAGAGCAAGCTCTTAATCAGTATGCTACACTGTCACCCACGAATGCAAACTCTTATCACTGTGATCACTCCCTTTTATTCTACACTAAATTCCCATTTATGGAAGTCTTTTCTCGAATCCCTTCCTCAGAAAACCATCTGTTGTCTCTCTTTTAGGTTTTCCTTCACTCGATGGAAAATACTAGTTTTAACAATCTCCAACCAATTCTCTTGCTATAATACAAAATCAACCTGCAAACCAAAAGGTGCTAAAACCCTGACCACACAGGGTCCTATAGGCGAGGCTGTGCAGCCTTATGAGAAGACAGCCTTTGTGCTCCAAGAGCACACAGTTCAGGGTAAGGGGAGAGCACCAGAAACGCCATGATACAAGGCAGTGAGCAAAAGTTCCACATGAGGAAAAAGACAAGGAGAATATAAGGAGTTCAATGAGAGAGAAAAAAAACTACTTCCTGTTCTTGTATTAAGAGAAATTTTACACAGGAAGGAAAATCTAAGGAGGAGGATTTGAGCCAAGAGAAGGGAATGGTGACAAGGTCAGAGGTTGGCAACAGCAGGCTCAGTGGGTTTACCAGGGAAGAAGGGGAGACGGGTTTGAAAAGAGAGTTTGGTGAGCAGGTTGGACTGTGGAGCTCCTTGAAGGATGGGCTAGCACAGTCAGGTTCTAGAGCAGGTTTCAGGAAGATCAAGCCTAAACGTACACAAAGGCAGTAAGCACAGGACTGGAAAAAGATCATCATGAGAGGAGCCGTGGATAAAGAATCAACATAATTTAGTGAAACAGTAAGGGAGAAAAGCATAAGGAGAGAAAGCAGGGTGTCGAAAATCGCAAGCAAAATTTGCTCTGAGTGACTTGAAGAACGGGGACTCCATGCGTGGAGGTGGAAACACTAGGAAAGGCAGTGATGGGAGCTGGGAAGAGAGGACGAATGCCCTTCAAGAAAACAAGACCTCTCAAAGAGCCCATCAAAAAGGCTGAAATGGAAGAACAAAGGTCAGGGAAAAGGTCAGAACTGGAGATGGCGATGCGAGAGAGAAAAGTGGGTGGAAAGAGAAAAGGAGCAACTGCAGACGGTTGACTGAGAGCAGGAGGAAAAAGAGAAACCACAGACACAGGTAGGACCAGACGGCATCACGGCGGAGAGGAGGAGGGGAGAACCTCAGTGAAGGGACAGTCCCAGTCTCGGGCGGCACTGCGGCCTGAGGGGGTCTTTTCTGGAAGCAGCCAGACAATGGATGGAAAGGCAGGACAAAGCACGGGAGGCAGGGCCACAGCTGGGAGGGCAGCAGGCTGAGGAGGCGCCGCGGCGCTCATGAGGCCTGTTCTGTCGTCGTCGTTTAGTTGCTAAGTTATGTCCGACTCTGTAACACGACGGGCCATAGCCCGCTAGGCTCCTCTGTCCACGGGATTTCCCGGGCAAGAATACTGGAGTGGGTTATTGCCATTTCCAGGCAGAAAGGGAGGACAGTTAGTGGAGGGAAAAGAGGTGGGAACTCAGGGAGCAAAAGCCAAAACGCTGGCGGGAAAGAATGGGAGGCAGGGTCCCTAAGAGAGGTAGGGAAGGACAATATTCAGAGATGGTAAGCAACAGATGGTAAGTGTCCATCGGTGGATACCTTTAGTTACTTATCCATTTCGTCATGGACTAATCCTTGATTTTGCATCAGGGAGCTAGGATGAACATAAATACTATTTGAAAATGTCTGCCTTGGTGATTGTAAACTCAAAAGGGGCTGCAAGACCATCTCATAACCTGCATTTCTATGCAGAAAATCAGGAGGCAGGATTAAATGCCGTAAAGACTCATAATGACGTCCATCTTTATGAACCACCTGTTGATCTGGATCTTTTAATCTTTTTTTTTTTTTTTAAAAAGAACAAGTGACAGGGCCTTCTGTGTTCTGTGTCCCTGAACCTCTGGGCATTCTGGCCTCTAGAGAGATTCCCCAAAAGCTGTCAGTTAGACCAGGATAGCTGCTCAAAGATTCTCAGTCCCCTCGGCTGATCTTTCCCTTCTCCCCAAGACAGGCTGACAGGCAGAGGAGGATCAGCTATCTTCCTTGTGGAGTCTGCCGAGTCTAGATCCATCAGATTAAAGGCAGGTATACTAGCTCAGTGGTTCCCAGCTTGGATCCCAAAAACTAGGAAAAATCCATCTTCCTCCTCAGGAACAAAGAGAGGGTTGTCACATTTTTATTTCATAAGAGATTTTTTTTAAAAACACACAGCCATCTGTGTAAGACCACGATTTCACAGAAGCCCAGATATTTTAATCCCCAATATAGAAAATACATAATTTCAGCATGTGTGCTTAGTTGCTCAGTCGTGTCCGACTCTGTGACCCCATGGACGGGAGCCCACTAGGGTCCTCTGTTCATGGGGATTCGCCAGGCAAGAATACTGGAGTGGGTCGCCATGTCCTCCTCCAAGGGATCTTCCCAACCCAGGGATCGAACCCAGGTCTCCCGAACTGCAGGCAGATACTTTTACCAACTGAGCCACCAGGGAAACAAACTGAATACACACAGCTTCAGGAAGAACTCACTGCCACTGCCCTTTTTTCCCCTCATTTTGCCTCAAACTGGAGAAAACTTTGTCAAGTATCAGCATTTAGGAACTGCTGTCCTAGGCTAACCTTGCTTCATTTATAAAACTGCAGCAGAGAAGACAAACCCTATGGTTCTTTCAGTTCTAACATTCTGTGATTCCACAACCCCCCCCCCCCAAAAACCACCCAGCCCTCCTTCTCTAGAGTGAGGCTTTCCTGACTGGCAAGTTTTAAAAACATCCAGGGAGCACATTTTTATTCATCTGTGTGTGTCAATGACTCAGAAAAGTGAACATTTTCAAGTAAACCAACCAGTACACAAAACAGGGCTGCCCTTTGAGGAAATAAGTATCTTGCTGGGCTCAAAACTCAATCAGGGAACTTCTCAGATAATGACTTTCTATATAGGGAAGGGGTTATGTATCAATTTTACTTTTGAAACATTCATGGCTTTGCTCTAGCCTGTTACCAAAAAAAAAAAAAAATTGGGACAGGGCAGGACAGACTCCCAAAGGAAGAAGGGGCATCACATGGGTGAACTGACAAGCAGGAAGAAGGCTTCACTGTCCCAAGCAAAGCTGGTTCCTTGAGTAAAGTGGTTCCCACAGGATCCCACCTTTCCTTGGAAAAAGGTGTAACTCCTTTCAAAGTTTCCAAGCATCCACAAAGTGCTCAGCAGTCATGTGGACCTGGCCTCAAGGGAGAAGCCTCAGCTGCCCTCGCTGGCACGAACGAGGTCATGGGCTTGTGGCTGAAGACCCTCAGATCCCATATGCTGAGCAGTTACTTGGTCTCCTGCTCACTCTGGAATTGAGTTCTCTTTTTATTTTCTGTTTTTCAAATCATCATCACAAAGTAGGCTCTGACACCTACAGGGAGATACCATTAAACGCCAGGAGCACAAATGCCAGGCTGTGTTCACCAGCCCTACCCAATAGGAAGACCACCACCCATCCATTCTAAAGCAATATTTTTCAATCTGGAGTCCACAGATGTAGTCCTGGGACTCAGCAAGTTCATGAATGCTTAAATTGAAAAAAACTTTTTTTGATGGTCAAAAATTAATGTACACAGATTTCAGGCTATCTGGTTGACCATCATCTAACCAAGTGCTACCACCAGATGTCAGTGCCAGCACTTGCCTTTACTGCTCAAACTCTGTTAGGAAGCTGTTCTTACTACATGAATCACTGCGGCTAAGCCTTCTTCTCATCCAAATGGGAGCTTGTTAAGACTCCACCCTAGATGTAATGAATCCCCCAAGAGATTCCCAAGCACACTGAAGTGTGAGAAACACTGAGCCAAAGAGAAAGCAGCAGAGGAGGACTAACATAGAACTAACCCGGTCACACCCAGCAGAGGGCAACGAACAGCACAACATACTGTACAAACATACAAAGTAGCTCAAGCTGAGCGCAGGGCGGGAGGGTGCCGTCTTCGTCAGGCACAGGGGGGCTGAGTGCGCTGGATGCAAGAGCAACAGTCTGGGACCACTGGCACTTTCCTGTCAGCCAAACAACACCACTTACGCATTTAAAGTGCTAATTACAAACTTGTTCTCTTTATTGTTCTACACAAGAGTTCTCAGCTCAAAGGGTTCAAAAGGAGCTTATATTGGTTTCATATTGAGTTGGCCAAAGACTTTGTTGAGGTTTTCCTGTGAGGTGTTATAGAAAAACTCAAATGAACTCTTTAGCCAACCCAGTATTTATACATACTTTTTTTTAAAAAGTAGGGTTGACGCTAGGTAGCTAATTTTTTTCTTTAACGTGACTGTGTTATAAGTACATGAGTCAAGAGTGAGGAAACATTATCCACTGAGACACATAAGATCCTGCAACTCAAAACTCCATGAGAAGGTTTGATATTGAAGGCTTAAAATTCCTTTCCAAAATAACAGGCGAAATGATATTAAGTATTGTCTTTTTTGTTCACTGTTCATCATGGATTTTTACAGAGATTTTTTGGGGGAGGGGAGGGGTTTGTTTTCTAAAATCAAGAATGGATGTTTACCTCTGTCAGTTGCCTTTTTGATAACTATCGATAGTATAAGGATTTTTTCTTTTACTGCTTTCTTAACTAACATGGCATATTTTAGTTTTGTTGTCCTTCTATTAAACTGGCCCTGAGTTTCTAAAATAATCCTAATTCGGTCACAGTGAATAACTCTTTGGGTCTACTGTTGGTTTCTAACTGCTATCTTTTTATTTAGGAATTCTCCATCAATGTGGATAAGTGAGACTGGCCCACAATAGTATCAGATTTAATTAGATAAGGCCATGTCCTAAAGAATGCATCTGACTGTCAAATAATTTTTTTCTATTTGTGTAATATAGAAATTGAGTTCTTTAAAGTCTCAACTTTTCCCCCAAGTGATTCTTTTGATTCTAGCTGCTTTCCAGAGGGGCAAGGGAGAACTTCTAGTTTTGCTTTTTCTCTTATCACATTAATTATGGCATGAGAATACTGAGTTTGTTCATCTTTTAGAAGAACAAATCTTGATTTTGTTTATGATACATAAAGTTTTTTCATTTTAAAAGTTATTTTCATGATAATCTATTATTTAATTTGTTCTTTTGAGTTTGTTGCTTTGTTCTTTTTCTATTACAGAAAATCATAGGTATCTTTTTTCTTATGCAAATACTTAGAGAAATAAAATTTTAAATTTTGACATATTATGTATACAGTATTTATATTATTTAATAGTCTTATATTTTATGTATTTTATGATAATCTATATATTTTCTCCCTAATTCAGTTGCTACTTAGGGTTTTTAGTTTGCCATTAATTCACAATTTTTAACATATTTAAATAGGTAGCACATACACAAGGAAATTCAAAAAGAGAAATAAGTTTCCCTTCCACCCTATTCCTAGTCCTCCAAACCTCCTCCTCAGAGGCAATGATTATTATGTGTGTGTAAAGGAAGAATGTAGGTTTCTTTAACACAAATGAAAACATATTATACTGTCTGTTCTATGCCTTATACACACATCTTTGTAAGAGAATTGACCACAATTTAAAAGTAGCTCTGTACTTTTCAATTATGCATTTTTGTTTAATTTTATTTCATTATGATCTGTGCAGATTGTTTTTATGAAATTTCTTTCTGAATTTACTAGAATTTACATGTGACAGCAAATGACCAATTTTTATGAAGTCACATAAAATGTTTTTAAAGTGTATTTCCCTGGCTTTATATTTAATCTTCTTCAACTTGGTTAATTTTGTTTTATTATGTACACAGTTTAAAAGTAATAGTTTTTCTTCCTTTTTTATGATGGTAGAAAAAATTTTTTCCATCACAATTATGTTCCTATCCATTTCCATTATTTTATTAAGTTATTTAAGGTATGTAGAGTCACTAAAGTTTTCTTTCACTATTTACTGTGTTTTTATCAAAATACATTTTAGTTAAAAAACTTTTCTCAGATAAAACTAGAAAGTGCCTTTTTATTCATCTGTAGTGGGAGGTATGCGCCCCATAACCTAAAGGATATTCCTTTAATTAAGCTTACTTATGTGGTTTGCCCTTTGAATAAACTAAACTATTTCATCTAGGGTTTAAACCCAAAATGATGTTTCTATTTATAATTATATTCCAGACATCAATCATTTGATAATAGTTTCCAAGTGTCTTCAGAAGAGGGCAGGAAGGGAAGGCAGCTACTGCTGTTTTCTATAGTTTAATGCTCTTAAAATACAGTGGAACATATTCAATAACCTGGCATGAATTTCCAATGATGGATTAGTGATATTTTAGCTTGGACTATACTCTGTATGGGGCTTCCCAGGTGGCTCAGTGGTAAAGAATAGGCCTGTCAAGGCAGGAGACACAGGTTTGATACCTGGGTCCGAAAGAATCCCTGGAGGAGGAAATGGCAGCCCACTCCAGGATTCTTGCCTGGGAAATCCCATGGACAGAGGAGCCTGGAGGGCTACAGTCCATGGGGTCACAAACAGTCAGACATGACTGAGCGACTGGGCACATGTTAGACTGACACGGTATTATATTTCATTTTGTCATTCTCTGGGTACCTCAAGTAACTGGCTGGCTCACAAGAACATGACTTTCACCAAACTCTATAATTTGAACACCTCCATAAATCCTGTAAATCTTTATAAAACCGTCATGACATCATCAGTTCCAAGAACTTGTCACATTTGCAAAAATATTTAACATGACACAGGTATTCAAATATTGTTACAAAGACGTAAAAGTCTTCTGAAAAATATCTTTAAAGATTTACTTATAAAGGGACAAAGATTATGAAGTCCCTTTTCCATAAAATCTACTTTTAGATCCATCAGCCAGGAAATGGCTTTCTTACATACCAATAGAGCATTAATGAATCAGAATTCATAAATGCTAACTATATAAAAATCAACAATTAAAAGCCATAGAGTTTCTACTACTACTGAAATTCACAATGTCAATCCTCACAGTTCTCTGAAATAAACTGTCTTTAATGTCATTTAGCTTCTCTAGGTTTAAGGAATATTCATATCGACCTTTTATGAGAAATATGAATGCTTTACTCCTTCACTGTAGTAAATAAAATTAATTCCTAATAGCCTCCTCAGAGTTTCAAGCTTGTCTATCCCCTGAGAAACGAAAAACACAGCTTAGGATTGAATGAGACTAAGTTTAGTAGAAGCATCAGGGTACTGATGTAGAAATCCTGCAAACAGAAATTTCCAAGAAGCACCCTATGAAAGCAGCATATACCCAGTTAATCCAGTCTTTTCTACAGCTCCTCACTTCTGCATCCAGAATTCACTATACAGGCCAAACATGGGGCATGAACACAACACTTCCCAGGGTTTCCAGCATCTAGACATTTGATAAAAGTTACTTTCAAATAAAAGAACTTTAGTTCATTTACTTGCTTAGATGCAAACTGTAGATAAGGCCTACCAAGTGCTAATCATACTCTTAGAAAGATCCTTTCAGTTCTTACTAGGAAGTAACCAAGAAACAGGAGAATGCTAAAAGGGCTAGTATTCTCGTGCTGAAATACACTCAGAATTCCCATAAAAGTAACTGTTCACTAAAGAGGTATAAGAAATCAATAAAACTAGCACACTGTTCTTTGTACTATGCATCTTGATCTCCTGTGCTCTACCAGGTGAAATTGTGAGATAACAAGGGCCTCCTGTCAGCTGAAGCACAGAAGCCCCTCTAAGAGGGCTCAGAATGGAGGGACCTTTTCACCTTATATAGTGGATTATGTTACAGTAGAGAAGGAGGTAACTAACCATTGCCATGAGAGGCTGTGATTACCCATCAGTTGCTCATTAAAACAGAATCTGGTTAGTAACCAGAAATAAAAACAATACATTCGGTGTTTCTATAACACCTTATGGAAAAACCCAAATGAACTTTTGGGCCAACCCAATAAATGGATTATTTTGATGACATTAAGAGAAGAGATAATAAGGAATCTCTAAGAAGCTGTGTAAGGCCAAGTCTTAATGAGGGGTGGAAGAAAGAAAAGACAATGAAAAGAAGACCCAAGGAACTCACAACACTGACATTTCAAATGTCCAGCCAGGATTTAGACATACACAGTTAATTCTCCAAATTCTTCCAAAAAAAAAAAAAGCAAACACCTGAATTCACCCTTCTACAATGGAATGCCTCAATGCCTCAGCAATCACCAAGTGCCTATCAGTATTGGAAATTAAAGTAACTAACAACACTGCTTTTGTAGATATGAAAACAGGGAGATGAAATTCTCCCACATATAAGGCCACCCCAGAAGTTAAGTGTGCAATCCTTGACACCCATTCACCTACACCAGGTTTCCTCAGAGCTGGAAGGGTGGGTACTCAACGAGATCAAACAACTATTGATTAATACTTCTGACCTGCAAAATGAGAACGAAGTAGTCTACAGGTTTGTTTCGCTGGTAGAGGTAGTATTCTGGAGCTTTCTTGTTCTTCTCATCATACTTCAGTTCCTGGATGACATTGGGGTGCTTTAGCAGCCTTAGAAGGATCTTCTCTGACATCTGGGATGGGCTAAATGCTTCTACTTCTATAGATATAAACACAACTTGATATTACACTTCAAATGGATGGAAAAAATGATGCTAGTGATTAAAGTGTTTAAAGAATACTTGGAATCAAAGCAATACAGCATGGATTAATGAGACTTCCGTTTCGTGATCCACTGGGGGCAGATAACCTGGGAGAAATTAGAAAATGCTGAATTCTCATGTTTGTTGCTTTAGAATTTTTCTTTTTCAACCTGTCACTGGTTTCAGGTATCATAAAAAAAAAAACCCCTCATTTTCTGACTGACACAAAGGAAAATCAACCAGAAGCAGGCTCCATGACTGCCAGGACACCCTGCAACAGGCCACAAAAGACTGACTGTCCAACAACAGCCAAAGGAAGAAGCAGAGGTCAGGAAGCGTCTAGGCGTGGGTTAGTACCAGGTGCTCAGACGCAGTGCTCACATCTCACTCTCCCATCGACTACCCTGAGAAAGTCTGGAAACAGAGGAAGGTAGAGATTCAGAATAAAAGCAAGGCACGTGCACACATCAACATGCACTCCAGCTTGCTATTAAAAAAAGTAATGTTGATCTGAATTGATAAAGATAGTGATTTCATTTAAAATAACAAAACCCCAAGTTACTGACTTAAGCGTGCTATACTGAAAGTGGACTTTATGGTATCTCTGAGGCAGAGTAGAATAACATCTAAATTGTGGTTCTTAAATGATGAAGAACTATATTATCAGAAATAAAGATATTGTTCATATGTCTTAAAATGTTTTTAATTATGTTATATGTGAGACCTATAGATTCTGCATTAGTTCGGTGACTTTTTTTGTAATAAAATAAGATAGTACATTGCGGAAGTTTTGGAAAATATAGAAAAAGAGAAAGAAGAAAATAAACCTATAAACCAACCACTCATAACCATTCTGAGCAATTGGTGAGCGTTTCTTTCCCATACCACACCTAGGCATGAGTGCCATGTACATACGTGTGTGTACACTAAACAATACAAGGATAATCTTGTGTACACATGGTTTTATACTGTTTCTTCTTACTTTACACTAAGTATTTTCACATGTGATAAATCTATGATGAGGCTTTCGAGGTATCTGAAAAAATTATCTTAAAGAGTGTGTAACATTCCATCACGTGGTTGCTGTTAGCCTTCTTTTCAAAATATCTCAAGTACACCGCATTCAGTTGAAAGGCACTGGCTGCCCATCTTGGACACAGACGTCTTCTACAGGCCACTGGGCACTCTCAGATTTTCTCACACTTCCCCCTGGCCAACAGAGCTCACCCTTCGCCTAGAGAGCCATCTGGGGGTGTGAGCAGGGTCAGTCAGTCTCTCAAGTCCATTCGACCTTGACCTCCCTGGAGCAGTCACTGCCGGCTGGGTTGGCGGTTTTAATAATGTGAACACTTGCCTCCTGGAATGGGCCCGAGTTAACAATCTGATTTGAAGAGGCCATCAGGAAATCTATGTCAGAGTTCTGAGGATTTCTGATTTCTTTACAACCAGAAAGGGTAAAAATTTAATTTTGAGAATTTATTGTTCTTCATTGCAAATCATAGCACCTGTGTCACCACTGATGTCCAACTGTTCTTCCGAGGCAAGCTGAAGAGAGAGCTACTCAATGTCTGACACACACCGAGATGGGGCCTGGTATGCACTGTCCGCCTGCTCCGCCAGCTGGCTCTCCCCTGGACTGAGCTGAAGCGGATGGCCTGGCCTACCGTTCACATGCAGTGTGGCACTAACATTCATCCTTACCTTTCAGACCAATTTTAAGTTACTGGTCCACCCCTGGTAAATGTCTCAGAGGGTTCATGCCGACACTGAACATAGGAGAGGAGAGAATTTAAAAAGAAAACAAAACAAAACAAAACAAACAAAACAAAAAAACAAAAAACAAAACACAAAAGTGGCATTACTTATCACCCCAGTTCCCAGGCTCCACCCCCAGCCCACCCCAGTCAGTGGTGGGTGAGAAACTTGCTCCAGGGTTGGCAGAGATTTCAAACTGTGATAAGCGGCACTTGCCTGTTGCTAGGAAACGGTGCATGGCCAAGAGAAGCTGTGGTGATATTTTAACCTTCATCTCGCTGTCTGTCTGCTTAAAAGCAGAAAAATCTTGCTTTCTTTCTCGATGGGCCACTTTCTTTTTCGTTCTGTTATCAGCTGAGGGAGGAATGAGAAAAGGAAAAAGTAAGGAAACACATTCCATTAGGTCAGGGCTCTTTTTGAATGAAAAATGACATGATATATTGGAAAGGCTAAGCTTGCTCTCCAGATGGTGGGCACGCTACATACAAACAGCACGTGGAGAGGGGAGGGACAGAGAACCCTCATCGGATCAGTGCAGCACAGGCGTGGCTGTGACACAATCCACAGTACGAAATCACAGGTAACGTGATTAGGAATGACTGTGGACACATGCTGGGAAGATCTACAGGGCCCTTCTAAGTACTATTATTGGGCAGCTATGGACAAAAATCCTCTCCTCGTAGAGCCTTTACATAACCACACAGCAACAGGACAGGAGCCCAGAGCACACACAGGCTCCTACTTCTCAGGCTGCCACCAGCAGGAAGAACAATCGTGCTACAGAAGACAAAGAAGCGTGTGCCTGCCTTTAGTGTCTGTGCCAGCCTCTGCTGAAAGAGCGCACACACACATACACACACAACCTCGAGAAATAAACAAGAACACTTTCACAGAACAGTGACTATTTGTGATTGATTTTAATAATATTATCTGTTGCTTTTTAATAATATCTGTTGATTTTAGTAATAATACCCCAGACCATGAGACCCTCAAGGTCAAGCAAATACGAAGGAAGTGATTCAGAACAGAGGTCAGCACATTTCCTCTGCAAAGGGCTGGACAGTAAATATTTCAGGCTCGCGGGCCATGTATGTTCTGTTGCAACTACAACTCTGCTGTTGAGCAGAAAGAAGCCATGTGAAAATGAATTAACAGGGTTGTGCTGCAGTAAAACTTTATTACAGATAGAAAATTTTAATTCTGTATCATTTTTACGTGTCACAAAATAATATTTTTTTGACTTTTTAACAACTGAAAAAATGTTAAAAAAAATTTTTTTTTAGCTTGTAAGCTGTAGTTTGCCAATCCTTGATCTTGAAGGTGTCAAACGCAAAACTTCTGAGTATTTCTGGACAAAGTAATGATCAAGAAAAAACTAGGTTAGGGACGAGATCCTAATTGCTTGCTTTCCCCCCCTCAAGAATCATGAGTCTTTACATTACCATTTCATGCCTAAGGCAACAGTGACGGCTAATCAGGCTTGTCCTGGGGAGAAGGCAATCACAACCTGGAATTTTCCTCTGTCCCAAATTCTCTTTAGAGTCAGGCAGCAAAAATCAAGGCAAGCATTCTGAATCATTGTCTAATGTCAAAGGTCGTCATCATCCCTGAACTGAATCAAGACTATCCTTGAAACACAAGTTCAGTATCTCATCTCAGGAAGCCATGTATGAAATCAGTCTCATCAAGGTTTAAAAGAAGTGAGCTGAAGGGTAAATATAAAAGCACATAAATGTCTAGATTTTCTTTCTTACACTGAGGATTACCCCTGGGGAAACACATAAATATGCAGAGACACACTTGGTATTAAACAGTCTCTGTGAGGAAGGATGAAAAGAATGTAAACACACAATTAACAATATTCTCTATTATGAAAGCTCTGATTATTCTCCAAGAGTCAAAAGGATAAAACGCATAGGGACTGGTGTTGTTTAAAGAACACTATACAGATGTGAGGGAAAAAATGAGATCCATTTGGGAAGCAGGTCAAGAGCTAAATATTAAAAAAAAAAATTTTAAGGGTGGATGGAAGGACTGAATAAAATGACTCTGCTTTGAGCAAGGCTGGCTTTGTCCTTGGTGCTCCAGGCCATCTGAATGGTCCCTTTTCCCCTCCAATTCAAGCTTGAAAAGCCCAACAGGGCAGAAAGAGCCCAAATTCTCTTTCTCCATACCACCTTTGACAGCCCCTAACATCTCAGGCCTTGGGCCATCTTTGGCATTAAGAAACTCTTGAAAGAGTATTACTTTGCTAAGAGTGAGGCTGAGGAAACCCAACAGTTGTGGATTTAATAGGACAGAATGCAGGTTCAATGCCCAGCCCAGGATCGAGCCTGTGTGTGTGTGCTAAGTCACTTCAGTTGTGTTTGACTCTGTATGACCCTAAGGACTGCAATGCACCAGTCCATGGAATTCTCCAGGCAAGAGAATCCTGGAGTGGATTGCCATGCCCTCCTCCAGAGGATTGTCCCAATCCAGGGATCGAACCTGGATCTCTTAAACATCTCCTACACTGGCAGGCAGGTTCTTTACCACTAGCGCCACCTGGGAAGCTCCAGGATCAAGCCTACTCCTGGGCAAACAGGTGTGGATACCCACCTTCTCCAAGCCAAGCCCACCTCCCAAAAGGCAGAGAAACAGACAACAAGAAAGACACACTTTTACTATGTATTCTAACCTGTCCTGCTTTTGCTATATACTCCGCAGTGAGAACACTACCCCAGCAAAACCACACCTGCAAACTTCACCTCTATCCTGACACATGGGTACTAGAACAAGGAAATTTCAACAGCTGCTATCCACAAACCCTTCTCAGTTTTTAAGCATTTGAATTATGACTTTAAGTAGAGACAGAAACTTAACTGAAACAATTTGCCTAACTGTGTGAAATGAAAGCCAAGAATGGAGTTTTCTGTTCAGGGCAAGTAATGCCCAGCTCAGAAGCAGTTGGCTTTTCAAAAAAAAAAAAAAAACATGGCCAGTTGATATTACAGGACCTGCCTCTTCTTCCTCTGTGGTGGAAGGACTGGTATATACTTGTAGGTGGTACCCAGCCTACACACACCGTGTATAATTAGAAACAGACAACAGCTGGAGAGATGTCTGATGACTCACAAAAAACATGGCAAATAAAAGCAAAGGTTTTGGAAAATTACACTCAGGCAATGGTACTCACTGTATAAATCTGTTTCATCTAGAATCTCAGATTTGATGATTTCTTCAATCACATCCTCTAATGTGACAATTCCCAGAACTTCATAAAATGGATCCCCCTCTCCCTCATTGTTTACTCGCTGCACAATAGCCAGGTGAGATTTACCTTTAAAGAAAAGAAAGCAAAGAGGTAATTTTCAGAGGTGATTTTATGAATTTCCTGAATGAAGTTTTATAAAGGATTATGTTAAAAACAGCAGTAAACACAGATACCAGATTATCAAAGTCTACCTTTCAGCATTTAAAAATGGTTTGGAAATGTTTGTCCACAAGCAAATGGGAAAGCTTCATGGGCCATCAAAAGTAAGACCAGTTAAGCCAAAACGGCATCATCGTCTACACACCGGGTACCACCATAGCGCCATCTGCTTCCCAATGGAGGTGGTGTCTGGTTATGTCAGCTGTTCCTTTGTGACCATTTAGCAACTGCTGCTTTACTTGAGGACAGCAGTTCTCAAAGTGTGGTCTGTGGACCCCTGGGGGTACCCAGGACCCCTTTAGGAAAGTCAGAAAGGCCAAATCCTTTTCATTTAGATTACTAAAATGTTCCTGGAGTTTTCTACTGTGTTGGTATTTGCACCAATGGTATAAAAGTGCCTCAGCACAAGTCAAGGCAGCGGTAGTAGCAGGTCACTACTAGTGGTCACTGTCTTCTCCACACTCACACTCACTCACACACACACACACTCACACACACACATACACACACACACTCACACATACACACACACACACTCACACACACACACTCACACTCACACACACATACACACACACACTCACTCACACATATACACACACTCACACACACACACACACACACACTCACACACACACTCACACTCATACACTCACACACACACACTCACACATACACACACACACTCACACACTCACACTCACACATACACTCACACACTCACACACACATACTCACTCACACACTCACACATACACACTCACACACTCACACACTCACATACACTCACACACTCACACATACACACACTTACTCACACACACACACACACACACACTCACACTCACACACACACACACACAGTAAAAGGGGGAAGGTCTGTTCAAGTAACCTTTAATTTAGGAGTTTGGGATTAAAACATACACATTACTATACATAAAATCTATAGCCATCAAGGACCTACTGTATAGCACAGGGAACTATACTCAATATCTTGTGAGAACCTACAATGGAAGAGAATTTTAAAATGTATATAAAACTGAATCACTTTGCTGTACACCTGAAATTAACAGAACACTGTAAATCAACTGTATTTCAATTAAAAATTGTAAAATAATTCTTTCCCGGAGGGGGGAAAATATCCTTGATGATGCAGTAGAAGTAATCAGCTTCATTAAATCTTGATTCCTGGGACCTGTCTTTCAATATTGTACGTGATAAATTGAGAAGTACCATAAAACATTTCTGTTGCATTCTGAAGTATGATAGTTGTTTTGAGGAAAAGGACTCATGCAAACTAAGTTGCAAGTTGGATCAATTTTTTCACCAAACATTTTATTTAAATAACTACCAAGCTATGGTTATTTAGACTTGGATATTTGGCAGACATTTTCTTGAAAATGAACATGATGAGCCTATTTCATTCAGGAAAACAACAGCAGTATTCACTGCTAAAGATAACATCTGAGCTTTCAAGGGAAAATTAGGATTTCGGGAAACGTGTAGCCACCACGGTGAAACTTGAGAGCTTCTCAGTGAAGACTTACCTGATGAGACAGGTGGCGCTATTAACAAATGTGATTTGTAAAGTACTGAACAATAAAATGTGTCAAGAGTTCAAAGATTTGTCTAACTCTATGAACCAGTATTCTCCAAATGACCATGGCCATGTTACCAAATCATGCATGGATAAATGATTTATTCAGAATGCAATGCATAACAGTGGATTTTTAAAAACTTTTTTATTTTGCAGTAATTTTAGATTTACAGAAAAGTGGCAAAGACAGAGTTCCTGTATATCCTTTACTCAACTTCCCCCTCCCACTATTAACACCTTACTTTACTATGATATATTCATCAAAACTAGAAGTTGACACTGATACGGTAACAGTAAGTACATTCCAGATTTTATTTGGATTTCACCAGTTTTTCCATTAATGTCCTCTTTCTGTTCATGTATCCAATCTTAAGGACCACGCTACACTTAGCTGTCGTGTCTTCCCAGATTCCTCTGGTCTGTGACAGTTTCCCAGTCTGCCCTTGTTTTTAATGAACTTGACAATCATGTAGACTCTGCAGAATATCTTCTGATTTGGATATATTTTTCTGATGTTTTTCTCACAAATAGACTGGGGTTATGAGTTTTTTCGCTACATGACATCAGGGCTCACATCATCACAGGCGACGTTCACGGTCACTATGCGGCCAAGGTAGTGTTTCCCAGGTTTCTCCACTGCAAAAGTTGCCAATTTTTCCCTTGTACTCATTCTACTCTTTGGAAGCAAGTCATTTGGTCTAGCCCACCCCCAGGGAGGGTGACTGGTAGGAATTAAGCCCTACTTCTTGGAGCTACACACATTACTCAGAATTCTTTTGTAAGGAAGATTCCAGACCAAAAGATTTTAATGGAACAGGGCACCACAAATCCACTGGCATAGTTTCAGATGCTACATTGCAACTAACTTTAAAGAAACTATCACTTGGGGAGTTTTGGGTTATTGTCAAAGAACATCCAAATATTCATAAAGGTTATTAAAATACCTCTCCCTTTTCAAATACATATCTGTGTGAGGACAGATTTTCTTCACATATCTCAATCAAAACAGTGTACTGCACAGACTGAATGCAGAAGAGAATCTAGCTGCCCTCCATTCAGCTTGATAATAAACTATACACAGAAAGGCAAACACTATTCTCTACTATTCAAGTTTTGGAAAAAGTTATTTCTAATAAAAATGCTACATTAACATGTAATGGATTCATGGTTGTCCCTTAAAAATAAGTAAATGTTTAAAATTCCTCAGGTTTAATTTCAAAATATAGTAAACATCAAAAAGATATCCTACAAGAACACATGCTATGAAACTGACCACTTCTGGATATGAACTCTAGTATCACCACTTTAGCCACCACCAGCTGTGTGATCAGGACCAAGGCCTATGTAACTTTTCTGAGCCTCAGTCTCCTTTTCTCTAAACCCAGGCTCATGATAATTGCTGTCATGCAGGATTATCGTCAGTATCAGAGATAATGTATCTAGCAAAGGCAGTGACTGGGATCAACGGGGCAATCAATAAATGGTAGCTTATATTAATTTATCAATATTCTTCCTCATAATTCTAAGGCACTATCAACTATTACCAGCTCAGTCAGAAAGAAAAAGTCTACTACATTAAACGTACACTGTGATAGCAACATAAATTGCCATATGCAAAATAGACAGCCAGCGAAAATTTGCTTTATGATGCAGAGAACTCAAATCAGGTGCTCTGTGACAACCTAGAGGGGTGGGAGGTGGGAGGGAGGTTGAGAGAGAGGGAACATAGATATATCTATGGCTAATTCATGGTGATGTATGGCAGAAACCAACCCAATATTGTAAAGCAATTATTCTCCAATTAAAAATTTAAAAATTAAAAAAGGATGCATTTCAATTTCAGAAAGGTCTTTTAAAAATATTAAATATATCTCATACACCAATAATTGGTTTTCCTAACCCAAGGCATGAGGGCAGCTGAAATGTATCCTCAAGCTAAGCCAAGGAGACATTATATCTGGAAACTTAATATAATGTTAAAATGATCATGATTTTCTTTAATTGGAGCGTAATTGTTTTACAATGTTAACTTCTGCTGCAGGACAACATGAATAATCAGCTATACCTATTCATATATCTTTCCCCTCTTGAGCCTCCCACTACCCAACATATTATTTTTTTAAATGACAGGGTGAGGTTTTTTGGAGGGGGTGGGAGTGAGGGCACATCATTTAAATAAACTTTACCTCAAACTGGGTGAGTTTGCTCAGACACAACCAGCCAAACTAAAAATATCCTGAAGGCCAGTTCTGATGAAGTTCCCAGCACCTACTCAGAGGCTGGCTTTAGGTCGGTGGGTTCATCTGCCCTTTCTGCTCTGCCTCAGACCCCTTTGCAGGCAACGCTGTCTGGAGACTGAGAAGTTAAGATTGTTAGACAATTAGGCATCCTAACAATCTGCATCCTTAGCGTGCTCGCACTCAAAAGAATGAAAATATTTTGAGCAAATGAGACTACAAGGGAAACTTATCAGCAACAGATAGATAAACACCGCATCAGGTCAAGTCAATTCTAGTCTAGTCAGTTTGGTTAGGTCAGTTTCTCCCATCTGCTTTCCCAAGGACCCAAACATAAGCAGTTAAAAATTCTTGGTGAATGCTGTCTGTCGAAAGTTAAATTCTTTTGCTATTCCCAGCTTGTGATCATTTAAAAGGAATTTTCCAAAGCAAGGTCTAATATTAGACTCAAAATGAAGTTTCCATTCCACTGAGGCGCTATTCTCACCAAAGTAACTACCGCATAATCAGATTGTCTTGGAGCAATTCGTTTAAATGCAGATGGACATACTTGAAATACCAGCTCGATAGCACCAACAGATCTGACTGGAAAAGGCCTTACTCTAGAAATTATTCATGTAAGCTAGGCTTCTTAGATGGAAAATTAAGTTTTCTTCCTAGCTAGCTCAGTGTTCCCTTTCACACCCCCACCTCCAATGTTGAAACTTCTTCATCTGCCCCAGAGTCACATATTTTTAGCTTTGGAATTCCTGGTGAGAAGTCTTGTTTTCTAACCTTCTTCCCAGTAAGCAGTACCAAAAAAAAAAAAAAAGATATCCCTCTTCTCTAATCATGCTTTTGGAAGACAGCAATATAAGGTACCTCTTCCCATACTTAACCATTCACTGCAGGGAGTTCAGCCTTTGGCCTCATAAGTGGAACCATCAAAGGGAAAATATAAACTTATCAAAACAGAAATTTAAAAAACTGAGCTCAAATAGCATCGTTCTTAACCTGAGTGTTGGAGGGATTAAGCCAGGATTGAAAGCAGCAAAGCAATTTTGGGGAAACTAATAAAAGATATTTATAAACCA